CTTCCATCTTGATGTCAGTCTTCACTTGCAGGCTTGGACTGCATCGGAGGCATTGTTTTCTACCACAGTTTTCCGGTAGGGTTTTGGTAGGAAGACTTCGACTCTTCTTCTGTCGATGATGATGTTGCATCGAGATAGCCCTCACTTACAAATTCTGGAGTTTATATAGCCAAAGAGACATCGGTGACGGTGGTGGTGAAGAATTGATTTCTTTAGAGACACTACCACCATCACCCTCGCCACCATTGCCGGCATGGCAGGGTGCTCAATGCAGAGGAGGCTTACCTGTGTATGCCAATGGCACCATTGTGTACAATGCCACCATACTGAAGGACGCTGATATCAGGCGTTTGACCAATATAACCAAGTGCACGGAAAAACGAAAGCTGGGCATTCACCAGTGTCAATGTATGACCTAGCTGTGGTCCCTGTGAGGTACACCCTCACTCTTCAACGGTCCTTTTCAGGGCCACCCATCTCTCTCAAAAGAATGCTACATCTAATGCAAACAACAATAATAACAACGATAGGTTGACATTTTTTTCAACTTTTATTTCCCCCTCTAACAAGAACACTTTGACAAAAGGTGCAGGATTAAGGGCGTCCCTGATCTTTTGTTTACAAACGGTATGAACTGTAACATCAGAACATCATGACATCCGAACAATAAGGTTGTGTCCTTTGGCAGGGTTTAGGATTATGGGCATCGATGTCTGTCAGGCGTGTCTGTTGAAACCAATGTCTTACACGTTCTTCATTGACCGGGGTCAAAAGACCATCCACTGGCAGGATGAGCCAGTACATGCAAACAGTACATCCAACGAGAGGCACTGAACCAGGGTTGAAGTGACTTGCAATTCCACTGTTGTCTGAGCCATTCGGCGAAGGTCATTCTGAAAGTCTGGATGCTGTTGGTAGGGATCGACTCTATGACTGTCAAAGTAGTCAATGGCACCTGATGCTGGACGATACACGCACACCCAGTGTTGTCCTGGGAGATGACTAGGGTCCGTGTAGACTTTAGGAAAATGTCCCTGCTGCAGCACGGTGGTTGCAAAGTGATATCGGGCAAAGGTACCTTGGTAGAGGGATCGAAGCAGGGGATCCTGTTGTATGTAGTCGTTCAAGTGTTTGGTCGTCAAGCCAGTGTCCGTCCTTAGACCATCAGAGCATTGCAGAACCGATCAATTTCCAAAACGCTTTCGTATTCATCGTAGCAGACACTTTTGATTTCAGTGCCATTGAGTTTCAGCTTGAGGCTAGTCATGTTGGTGTGTTTGAAATGGAAGGGGTTCTTTTCCTTACTGCCAGCAAAAGCATCATTGTCCACAATCCCAACACCACTCGTTTGGGAAGCTGGTCTCCAATCAGTTGATCTTTGGGGAAATCGCGTCGTCCTCCTGGAATGTCGTGGGCTGTGACTTGGACTCAGGTCAAAGGATATTTGGCCGTGATTCCTGGTGACATGTGTTTCACGTGTTGTTCCCGTATGGCAGGATCAATGTTGACTTAGCACACGTAAAACTCGGCTTTGGTCAGTTCAAATTGACACTCTCCAGCACTCACCAAGTAGAAATCACTCGAGCTGCGAGTCAGTTCTAGTTTCATGGGCACTCCATCCAACAGATACCGATCTTGGAGAAACAGGTCACAGTGGAGGCGTCCTTCCCGTAACTCAGTAACGTTTCCAAATAGGCTCGGTAGGGATAGGTTCCTATGGAGGGTGTAATTTCCAGCTAGTTGTGTCCCACTTGCACACGCACTTCACTAAAGAGGGAATGTTGTTCACCGTGGACACGATGAGTGCCTGATCGCCATCATGAGCTGCATCCGTACCATCTGTATTTTTCATTTTGAGGCAGATGCGGAGGTAACACTGGCTCAAATCGATGTAGGTATTGACAGGGTTAGCAATGTTAATTTGGAGGGGACCCGCGACCGAAGGGGGTGCAAGAGGACTGTATCGAATCCACTGGCCTTCTTGGACCGAGGTCACCACAGGGGGCACAGAAAAGAGATCCATTTGTGCCTTGGAACATTCGCAGGCATCCCGGCGCATCATCTTGACAGCTGATCTGGGCAACAGGTCTTGACCGTACCCTGTCTGGTGTTGAACTGAACCCCTTTTCCATCTGGACGGCCCATTATGCTGCCTGATCAGTCACATCTCGACCAAAACAACTAAAGTTACTTGGTGGTGGTGTACCGTGTTCAAAGCACGTTGCTCTTCTCTTGCATTCTTCTTCTCCTTTGGCCACCATTTGTTTGTAGTTGTCATTCACCTCTTCCTCAGGACAAAACAGGCACAAGTATTTACAATGGACTTTGGCATGCTTCAGGTGTTCTCGCCAGGGTTGGTCTGTGGCTTCCCATCGATGAATTTTCAGGCCGCAGCAATAACAGATCACACTATCACTGCATCCATCATAGAAATAGCCAGCCATGGCGAAGTCATAAGGCGTCTGGGCCATCTGCATAGGCCATGTTCGAAACGACCTCGCACATTGATGAAACTGACCATACTCGGGGTGAGTAGGATTCTTCAAGCTGTATCCAGGTTGTGTCCATGGGGATGACAGAGGAGGAGGAATATTTCCCCAGATGATCTCCATGGGGATGACGGAATATCTAGAGACAAATTCTTCTGCCTGATCTTTTGAGACACCCATTCTGTATCGAGGACATCGAATGCACTCATGCTGATGCTTTTACGTCTGCTCAGTCCGACGACTTGAAGCCAAATGACACCTTCTCTCAAAACAAAGCTTTACGTTTCTTGGTGAATCCAACTGTCTGTTTCTGTTTTCTTTTGCGTGCTGGTGATTCTGGTGGGTGCTGTCGCAAGGTGGCGAGTAAGGCTTATTTCCCATGATGTTTCAAACTGCTGCCCACACACACACACACACACACTTCGGTGTCCAGAACTGATATCTTGCACTAATCCCGGCAGCATCTTGACGCCTGTTTTGAGAGCTGATTTCCCCACCGTCTTGAAGAAGGAGAGAGCTCAACGTCCCGAGTTTCCCAAGATGTTGCCGAGACCTCTCTCCCTCGTTGATGAATGCGTCCTCGGTACACGCCTAAGCCTCCTCCTCGCTGTTGTCCACCCAAGCCACTGTCACGGTGGTGTCTGATACACTGGTGTCCTACCATCTCGATTCTCAGTACGTACCCAGACGATGGAAATGAAGTGTCACGATGGTCTTCCCACTCTGGAATGGTACGAGACTTCCTACGTGTAGTATGTAAATGTCCACGGTGTCATCGATATAAAACACGTAGTTACTTTGCTGTACTTTTTCCACTTGGGCCATGATGTGTACCCCCTGGAGGTCCTCCATGTGCTGAAATGTGACTCGGATGGGTGTATCCAGGGTTGGATGTTCAAGGGACAATCCCACTCGATCACCATCATGGCCGTTCACATTGTTTCTCAGGTCTAACAAGACAACCATTATTGGCATGAGTATATGTCCAAAGAAGGCCAACAACAACAACAACTAACACGATCACAACACCTGCTACAACTGCGAGTATGAACTGTACCAACAAGGCCCAGAAACGTGCCGCTCCCGCAAACCAGCCACGTCAACTGCCAAAGAAAGTGACTGTACTTGAAGGAAATCGTCTACTGGCTCTACTCAATGACAAGGTCATCCTTGTTCAAGACCGTATAGAAATCATGCACACGCTGCTTCAACGCGTGTTAGAGTTTGTCGAACCCATGGACGATTCCATCAACACCGCCTCCAGCGGACCAATATCACCACAATAGATACCATGCCTCGGTGATGTCTCACCCCACCATGCCAATCCATCCCGCTCAAAAGAAAGTGGGTTACAAAGCTTGAACCACACTTATCTAGGCGTACATCGTCGTCACCGCACGCACGCCATCGTCCTCACCACTCTCCCTCCGTCTCTCCCTCCCTCCTCCTTCCCGTGCGTTCAGTCCGCTCACCATCTTGAAATGCGCCTTGTCTCGCGAGATCCTGGGGTACTCCACGAGATCCCGCAAGATTTCACGAGATCCCACCGGATGGACCGCCATCTTGAACGTAACGTCCATCTTGACCCGGACGTGACGCCATCTTGGCCCGGATGTGACGTCATGGTGATGTGCGAGCACACCGGAACCGGAAGTGACGTCACCGTGATACGTGCACACGCACACCAGAACCAGAAGCACGTGATCGAATGTGCCGCCATCTTGAAATTGATCCCAGGGTCACGGGATACACTACTAGCACATTTCTTTTGGGTTTGACAAATGAAGGTCAAATTATTTAAGTAAAATGGACAATACACAAACGAAAAAAATATGAAACGTTGTAGTGAGTGAGTTAAAATTTAACTCACATCGGCAGTATTTCAGCCATATCGTGACTATATTAAGTATGTATTGATAATAGTGAATGAGTGAGTTTAGTTTTACGCCGGCAGTCTGTAAATAATCGAGTCTGGACCAGACAATCCAGTGATCAACAGCATGAGCATCGATCTGCGCAATTGGGAACCGATGACATGTGTCAATCAAGCCAGCGAGCCCGACCACCCGATCCCGTTAGTTGCCTCTTACGACAAGCATGGGTTACTGAAGGTTTATTCTAAACCGGACCTTCACGGGTATATATTGATATTAATTATAGGTAACTTATTAAAACCTGTCAACGAAGGACAGTAAAACAACTAGTTCACCACAGACATAATTTTAAAACTAGTAATCAAATTTAAAACATTTTAACAGTACAAGTCGATACAATATAAAACACTGGCTATAGATCGCCAACAAGTGAAGGTAGATCACCATACCAGACACCATGGGGACTTACAGTACCTTTGCTACCTGAATGGATCCTCGCTGGATTTACATCATCCCTTCAGCCTTTTGCGATTTTAGTCAGATTTAGCCATGATTTAAAATTACAAAAATACGAAAAGTTAAAACATGACATGATTGTCTAATAAATTGAATCATAATAAAACAATGAGGATCTTACCACTCGTTGCGCATCCACACTAGTGTTCTGGAGTCACAACGCATTACCATATGTACCCAATAAACTGTGTGAAATGTACGTGCAATCGATAACACATACAAACACCTCGACACGCATGCACCAGTTCTACAGGTTCCGGTTGGACAACGGCCCGTGCTGTAGCAAAAGAAAATCTTTTGGCATTGTAACTTCCATCAGCTAATTGATCAAGTCTACGAAATCACCAAACCGAAAACGATTGGATGAATAGAGTTATTTTTCGTTTTCTTTGAATCAATGCAACGAGATATTATGGACAAAAGAGAACGGTTTGTTTTTCAACAAACTGTAAAATGAAACAAAGAGGATGCGGCTCTGATGTTTCAGTCGATGAAATTGTTTGCCTTGCCAGCTCTGTTGACGTTCGTAGATAATTAATTTAAAAGTCGTCAACAGTCGTAAAAACAAAAATCAAAAGAACAGCGAACATTTTGCTGCTGCGAGCATTATAATGACAAAGAACCCGAATGGATTGGTTATACTGGCATAAGATTAGAAAATGGTTATACTAAAAACATGTTTTGCTGGGAATGATCCCTGACCGTGATACTGGTGGAACACTGATGAAAACCTAACTACCGCTCTGTGCTGTGAATAATATGACATTTTCACATTTGTTTATTTCGATTATTTTAAGACTAGTTATATGTGCACACATCAGTCCTTCTGATCGTTAAAAAGGGCGGTGGGGTAGCTTAGTGGTTAAGGCGTTCGCTCGTCACGCCGAAGACCCGGGTTCGATTCCCCACATGGGTACAATGTGTGAAGCCCGTTTCTGGATCCCCCGCCGTGATGTTGCTTGAATATTGCAAAACGGCGTAAAACCCAACTCGCTCACTCACTCACTCTAATTGGTAAGTTTTCTTGAACGTTTACTTCACTGCCGACGATTGTGTAGATGAAAGTATAACTGTCTACACTCGTAAAGACAAATAACCACTAAAAGGACGTTTTGAGTGCGAACAACTTGTACATGTATGTTTAACACGCAAGGGAGTGTGAGGAGTGTTATTTACGTCATGGCAAATATGCTATCAAAACAAAACGCAACGTATGATTTAAGCTGATATATTCAAGCCGCCTTTTCCTGTAGTTGACATGACATGACACTCGAATCCACTTTTTGACCATGCTTATACAATTTTGCTTAACCATAGCGTACACCACCTCTCACCCACCACAATGGCATCCCTTGGGGAGAGTCATAAAGGTGGTGCTGATTGGTTGATTGATTGATTGGTTGAACGATTGATTGATTGATTGATTGATTGGTTGATTGGTTGAACGATTGATTGATTGATTGATTGATTGATTCAATTTTGAGTTAATAATTAACGTCACATCGGCAGTATTTCAGCCATATCGTGACGAGAACAATCTATAAATTAAACCAAAATAAATCTATACCTTATAAACCTGTCATCGAAGGACAGTAAACATACAAATATATCACAGATGTGGTTTAAAACGTGTATGTTGTAATAGAATCTGTTACTACAGAAAACAATACAAAATAAAAACAGTCTACTGATCGCAAGCAAACTGAAGGTAGATCACCATACCAGGGTCCATGGGGACGTACAATACTTTCCCTTCCTGCATGGACCCTAGCTGGATTTACATAATCCCCTCAGGTGTAGACGATATTTCGGAAATGTAGCCGATCGTTAAAATAACAAACATTCTACTATAAAAAAGATGGTAGATATAAACGTGACACCTTGGCATCACCCACCATTAAATTTCATCTTCAGTAATCCATGCTTGTCGCGACGCAACTAACGGGGTCGTATGGTCAGGCTCGTTGACCTGGTTGACATATGTCATCGTATCGAAGCTGTGGAGACGGAAGTGCGGCGTTAAACGGTGAACAGCAAAACTGCATAACGACAGTCGATCTAAACAGTCGGAACGGAGCCCGAAAAACAAATAATTACAAAACTGGCAACATCATTTGTGAGGAAATAAAAAGGGTTGGATCTAAGGTAACCTGTTCAACATGCTATCGCAAGCTTTGTAACAGTCATCCCTTAACGGGACTGTGAGAACGAAACAACCATTGTAACACCGACCATTCTGTAAATAAGGACAATCTGGATCTTTCAATGAAATGGGACCTATGTACTGGTGCTGAGGATAGTAGGTGATTGGTGAGGTGAGGTGAGGTGAAGTTGGGTTTAACGACGTGCATGCGTGTGTATGTGTATGTGTGGCTGCTTGTACTAGCCCAGACTGAAGCTGGTTTTATAGTGCTAGCCCACTGAGATACCATGCCGCAGTGAAGCATGAATACCCCACTCACACATATTATACTGACCCCGAGCCGCCCAGTCCTTGTTGTACCCATTAATGGCGGCGCCAGGCAGGAACCAACAAGTACCATATTTTAACGTCTTTTGGTATGACGCGGTCGGGGATCGAACCCGCGACCTTCTGCTCTCCGGGCGGACGCTCTAACCACTACACCACGGAGGCGGTCAGTAGATGATTGGGATACGATGACATGTGTGAATCAAGTCCGCGATCCTGACCACCTGGATCCCGTTAGTCAGTCGCGCCACAGCGTGACAATATTTAGAATATCAATATTTGTGCATGATGAATATTACGACTGAAAATTGAAAATATTTACTTAGCAACATGTTACATGACAGATTCTAAAAGACTCTTATGCATTTGCCATTGCTTACCATGAGCATAAAGCGTTCTGTTGCCCCAATCAGGAACGTGACGAGGTTCCTTAAATGGACAATATTTTCATGGTGTTCAGCGGATATTTCTGTTCACTCACTCTCTGTCATGATGTAGTGGCTGATAGCTGTAGGTCAATATTATTATCCGCCGCTGTGTGTCTGTAAACACTGAAACATCATCCCAGTAAGCTGTTGTGGTTACTCTATTCGATTATTCTATCGACGTTTTATCAAACTAGAAACTGGAACTGATTTCTACATTTCACATAAATCAAAAAGGAGTGAGTGAGTGAGAATGGTTTTGTGCCGCTTTTAGCAATATTCCAGCAATACCACGGCGTGGGGCACCAGAAAAGGGCTTCACACATTGTACCGTTGTGGGGAATAGGACCCAGTCTTCAGCGTGACGAGCAGACGCGTTAACCAATAGGAACCTTGAATCAATAGAGTGAGTGAGTGAGCTTAGTTTTACGCCGCACTCAGCAATATTACAGCTATTTGGCGGCGGTGTGTAAATAATCGAGTCCGGACCAGACAATCCAGTAGTCAACATCATGAGCATCGATCTGCGCAATTGGGAACCGATGACATGTGTCAACCAAGCCAGAGAGCCTGACAACCCGATGAATCAAAAGACCTTGACCGGGTAAGACTTATATTTCTAAAAGTGCCATAACTTTGCGTTGTTATGTTGGTCAGTGCAGTGTGTGGTCCTGTGCGTAGAGCTCAGGCCACGAATCAGTTGAAGTTAAGGAACGTCGAGTTCGAAGAGTCCTGGGATTGGTGTCCGTGTTTGACAACTTGACTCCTGAGAGTTTCTAGAACTTCAGTCCTGCCCCACAACGAAGCACATGTGATACATTTGGTCTCACCTTAGGCAAGTGAATTGTTCGAAATTGCCTCTGTTCACCCTGCAGAAAATGGGCACCCGGTTGGATAAAGGCATGTGACTGTATTCTTCTAGCGCCTAACGGGCAGCTCGGGTCACCCTGGGTAATAATAATTAAATTGTGATTACAGCCCAGTGGTTAAAGCTTTCGCTCGTCACATTGAAGACCCGGTTCGATTCTGCAATGGAAACAATGTGTGGAGCCCATTTCCTGCAGTAATATTGCTGGAATATTGCTAAAAGCGGCGTGAAACTTAATTCACTCACTCACTGAGCGACCCTTGCTCCTAACCCCCATTCTTTAACAAAGATTTTCGATAGCTGTTACGCTGAGATCGTTCATGGATAGTTCAGCTGCAATAGAGAGTGAGCCCAAAGGTTATATAAAATATGGGTCGAGGTTGACAACTGATTATATAATATGGATTACACGTCTTAAAATAGAGAACAACGCTGTCGAAAAGCATGTCAACTATCGTATTTACTGATTGTGGTTCCAATATCAACGGTGTGTAGATGCACGTAATATCTGTTTGTGAATCTCTCAACACATCACGAACAGACTGTATTACAGAGCAAGTAAAATAATTTTGTCCCTTTGCCTTGTGCCTCTCGTGGCTTCCTTTTCTCTATTGAAATATTTTAGGTAGTAAAGTAGACTACACGATAATCTTGAATGAACGTTTCGATGGGGTAGCCTAGTGGTTAAAGCGTTCGCTCGTCATGCCGAAGGCCGGGTTCGATTCTCCACGTGGGTACAATGTGTGAAGCCCATTTCTGGTGCCCCCTGCCGTGATATTGCTGGAATATTGCTAAAAACGGCGTAAAACTAAACTCACTTACTCACTCTTGAAAGAACAAGTGTCTTGAGTAAACAAGTGTCTATGACTAAATATCTTTATAAATAAAGAATGTGTCCCAAGAAGCAACATGTTTCTTTTGTTCTTGTTTTGGTTGTTTTGTTTTTTTGGTTTTTTTTGCAGATCTGGTATAAACATATCTTATTCATGAAATATTAATATGACATTATTATGGATTGGCACAACAAGCCAACGGCTTAAGTGAGTGCCGCTCCACAAAATAAAATACAATACAATCAATAATTAATTTCAAACAAAGTACAGAAGGAATTATTTCCACAAAGGCATGAAATGCATAATAACAGGAATTTTTTTACAAAATTACATTAAATGATTCGCTAGTTACAGTTTAGAATAATTTGAATCTATTTGAAAGTAGTATGTATTTGTGAACAGAGTCAAGAATAAGCTGATTTATGATGTTGCTTGAAGTTTGATTACCATGGAGAATTGAATTTTAGTCAAAACCATTAGTGTAGAAATATGTTTCTGATCTTATTAAATCATAACAAGGGCAAGAAAAGAAGTAATAGAGAGAATGTTCCCAAGGATACCCACATGCACAATTCGAATTATTTGAAATATGTCTATCAAAACAATGAGCGTCCAAGTCACTACAA